CTTCTGGTTGCACATTACTAAGGACCTTACAAAACTACGACGGCGACAGCGACGGCGATAACGACAAATAAACAATAAATAACAACTCTGCACATGCATCACGCCAACCTCGTTCTCAGGTTGGCATCACGCTTTCTTTGTTAATTTCTTTGCCGTCTCTGCATAACTACGACTTGAAATGGCCAAATTTCAAGTTTACTTGAGAACGGAAACGGCTTGGCGAAAAATTCTATCATCTCTGTCTGAACTCGGGCGCGGTCGCCTCTCTTCAGCTCCAACATAAATTGTCTTCTTTCAAGTAACTGGGCAACTTGGGATAATCGCGAAATAGATTGAAAGGGTGCGAAGTCTATTTTTCAACGATGTTTTCAAGGAAGTCGCCGTTTAGTGTCGGATTGTAAGGTCCCAAATATCAATAGGTGACGTCAGCATGAGTCACATCGCGATAGGAGGGACCCAAAATCGAGTTGGGTGTGGTTTCCTTTTTTTTCTTTGGTGGTCCGAAGTAGGTATGAGAAAAAGGAAGAGGAAGGTGGGTAACAATTCAAGAACTTACAAACAACAATAATGAGTTTGTGCTTAGCCTCTATTGCATGGCTTCTAGCGTCATTAACCCATATAGATTCCGAGGGCCGTACGAAGTCATTCGCGTGGCCTGTCTATACCAACTACGCGACAAAAAAGCCACGCGAATGACTTCGTAAACGCTAAAGCCATGCAAGAGAGAAACCTCCGCTCGCAGTGTACGAGCAGGCTCACTCGTGCGACACAATTGAGCCTGCTCATAGCCGAGTTTGTGCTCTAATCAGTATTCTTGCACTGAAACTGCTTATCTCACGAGTTCTTTAAACTATGACGAGGGAAATATATCTTGTACTAATTGAAGTAAGCCCACGATCTAACAATAAATATAATAAAATATATATTAACACACTCTTGAAGAAATGTGTGCCGGCAAGTACATTAAATAATACTTATAAATAAAATGTACATTGTATGATGTGACTAATAATTTGCACCGATTGCAAAATTTTTATCATGTGGCTGCCTAATTCTACTTTCTAATAACTTAGCTAGCAGCGATATATTTGAATTGAAATAAACCTGACTATATTTATGATTTATATTTACGAGTTATAATTTGTGCGGTATAGTAGGCATTTGGACGACTTAATTATGATCAGCCTCGTTTCCATGCAGTGATAGATGCAGCGGTCAACAGCTCCAACGAAATCCAGTTTTTCGACATGTTGCCATGCTGGGATTTTTGGGGACTCTTGATATGTTATTAAGCAATAAATTCTGAGTCTAAAACCGTTGAGATTTCTTTTGTGGGAATTTGTTCCGGTTTGAACTTATTTTCCACGTTCAATGACTGGACTACTATAAATGATTGAATATATACGTTAGCAATGTGATTACAATGCTTCTGTTAGCTATTTTTTGAGCTTAAGCTTAGAGAAGCATTTTCTTCCTCCAGCTCCTGAAAAAGTAAAATAAAAAATAATAATAAGAGGATGCACAAAATAAAAATAAGCTTCATTTCAGAAACCTTTTTGAATTACCGTAATATTTTGGTACATCTGGCAGTTTGCAGATGTAGATTTAAAGATGGTGAAGATAATTAACAGTTCTTCACTACAATAATAAACTTAAGGGACTAGAGTTCCACAATTTGGAAAAGCTGAGCTGAAATTATAACTAAGTAGTCTCAGTCAAAGTAGCAGGCAAATTTTGAGTTCATAGACACATAGAATGACACTAACTTTCAGCTTTTTCTTCAACTGAAGTATTTCAATTTCATGCTTTATTGTGTCAATCTAAAAAACAACAACAACAACAAAACAAAATATGATTAATATGCATGATTTCACAATATGGTATGGCCATTGAAAACATTGGTCCAGTTCTTCTTTCTTTCTTTATTTAATTTTGCATTTTCTGTGGTCAGAGACAAAGTTGAGATCAATAAATATGCAAAAATCGACAAGGACAATAATCAGCCTTCTTGATGAAACAAGCTTGGTCAATATAAAGAATTATTACATGGCCAAGAGAACTTTCTTACAGCACCAAAGTAGGAGATTCCAGGTGGGCAAGATAGGCAGGGCCCATCTTTCCTGCTCAAATAGCCAATAAGAACACAACATTTGCTTGAATCACCTTGCCAGCCATATACATTGTAGTAGTCAACAAAATAAACTTTGCCTTTGGTGAAAAGTAACTATTCTGCATACCTTGGATTTAAGTAAATCTCTATGCTTTAAAAGGTTTTTCTCCTATAAGAAGAGGAAAAACAAAACAAAAAGCACAATCAATTAATGTTTACGCATAAAAATTCAGGAAGGAATTGTGGAGCCATGTGTGGTTGAGCAGTTAACAATCCCAAACTCCAGATCTGGAGATCTGGGGTTCAAGCCTCACCTGTAGTGTTGCTTCCTTAGCCAAGGAACAATTCACTTTGTCTCTCTTCACCAAGGTGTATAAATGGGTACCAGCGACATACTGTTGGGGGGTAACCCTGTGATGGACGTATTCCATCCAGGGGGGAGTAGCAAATCCTAGGCATGCTTCATGCTAAGGAAACGAAGATAAACTTAGGCCCTTTGGGCCTTTGGCTTGTGTTACATGTACCTTGTGTTACCTTTAAATTTTGCTTATAGTTTTTTCATCCTACATGTAGGTAAAACTCAGATGTTTGGTTACAGAGTAAAACATCTTAACCAGAATTCCGAGAGGGGATGGGTGAGGGTAGGAGCTAAATATTTTCTGGAATAACTTAGCCCACATGCAAAAATTTGGAGCCCTTCAAATCCAGCATTGTAAGATTAGCACATTCAGAGAATATGGTGCAAGCAAGCCACACAATGGCAGTTTTTAAAAGCACTATTCCTGCAAGCACACAACACCACTATGAGAACAATTAAGAAACTTTTTCAACAGACATTTTGGTTTCATTTGAAAATTGAAGAATTAGTACCATTCAGTCCATTCTTTAATGGTCGGTTACAATCTTGCTTTAAAGATCTGACCAAAGTTCCAGAAGGGGACAAAAGCTTGCACTGGCTCTGTTTTGTGATTATGCAGCAACTTGTAGTTTTGAAAAAATATATATATTCTGCATGATTTACAACTTTTAAATACAAACTATCTTCAGTACCTTTAATGCCTCTCTTTCATCATCAATGGTAACTGGGAAAAATCTCTGAAAAACAAAAACTCAGACTCAGTTTAGGATTCTATGATTTACCCGATACACAGCTACATGTAGTAATAAAACAACAAATATGGCCATTTTTTCATTTTCTTTCACTTTTTTACATTGCTTTTGTCCTGAAGTTAAAAGTTATATTAAAGTAAAGTAAAGTAAAGTGGACCTTTATTGAATCTCCCAGTCGGGGTTTTTCAGACCCAATGTACATAAGCATATAAATAATTCATATTAAGGTTAAATGTCTAAACGTTAAAATTATAATGATAGATAAAAACTAGCTGACAAGAAATGATTCGAAAAGGAAATTCTCTAAGTTTCTTTTTGAAAGTATGCAGGCTGTCTGTAGTAGTAATCGCATGTGGCAATGAGTTCCAGATTTTAATTGCTCTATGTATAAAAAAAAGGTTGCTGCACCTGCAGCTGATTGATAAGCTGGAATATATTATGGCATAGTTGTCAAAATTTGGTTCTGCAGATGCCATTCATATCATGTTGAATTCAGTTCTTCATTAACTTGTTGGTATTTTTTTGCTCAAATGACTGAACTTACTTTCTCAAAGTCATTAAGCTGGTCCTGTTTTTCCTCAATCATCTTCAATAATTTTGGCTTTTCTTTCTCCCATTCAGATTCACCCATATTCACTGAACTGTAAGTACAAATTAAAAAAACAAAAACAAAAACAAAACAAAACAATGTAATTATATCTACAAACTTTCATACCTTAGGCATGAGTCTCAAGTTTGTCTTATGCCAACTAACACCTGCAAATCACACTTAAAGCAGGGCCTTATAATGAGGTGTCAACAAATTTGTTAACAGGTTGACAGACCTATAACTGGAGGGATTGGGGAAGCTTGGAAGTGGCAGGTGGCAGTTATTTTTATTAATGCAAATACTGTGTATGCCTATTGTAAGTAAAAGACAAATGGCTACAAAAGCTAAGCAACTCCCGTATAATTGTGTAGGTTAATACAGTAATCCTCATCATCAGATAGTCACAAGGTTTACCAAGCAGCTCAACCAAGTGTTGGTCAGGCCTTGTGATGATTTGATGATAAGGATTAGCCTGACGCTCAGACATATCTTCGAGTCGCATACTCCCTCATGAGACGTAGTCTCTGGTGGGGCTCAAGGGTATGTCTGGTGAAATTCAGGCTAGATAAGGATTCTTTCCAATGACTTCTGCTTGACCCCATGAAGGGCTGCCCAGTAATAGGGATAAATCATTCACAAAAATTACCGGAAAAATTCAAACTTTCAAACTTTTCACTGCTAGAACGGAAGAGGAGACGTCAATATGCCCTTCCCCGCTCCAGCTGGGTTAAAAACACAAAATTTATTTATCCATGTCTACCCGTTCTCTCTTCTAATTGTGACCAAATTAAAAGATATCCTGGGTAAAAGCTGTACATTGCAGAAAAGCAAAACTCACCTTGACTTGCCTAAAATTCTTTGCAGGCAGGAGAACTACGGCCTCTTACATGAGGTACCTACGGCCTTGCAATGCATGCACCGCTGATTCAATGCAGGCGTCAAAAGCCTTTTACGCTGGGGTAGCCCCTGGGGTGGAGGGGGCGGTTGTTTTGGAGTGTCAATTGAGCGTGTCACAAGTCTCGACTTAACTGTATTTTGTTTGTTGTTTGTGCGATGTGGAGCGTAAACGATATTAAAAGGGAGGTTTACAAGTAATAAACAGCTCAGCTGTTGGTACTGCGACAAATCAGAAGAAGCAAGGACTATTTCTCGCCTTTTGTTTAGCCGGAGTTTCATAATTTAGCAACGAACATGGCGGAAAACGATTTGTCAAGCGCATTTCGACTCGCTGATCCAACAGATAAGGAGCAATTCTTTTCTCGTCTTAGAAAGTTGGATGTCAACAACGAAATTGAACTAGCGGCCTTTCTGAACGATTACAAGTACCGAAAACTGGTTGTGTCTGGTTTTAACCGCGATCTTGTCATAGTTGGCCGAAATGAATCGACTGTCTTCGATGATTTTACATTGCAAGTGTGGAAGAAGTATTACATAGAGGAGGATGTTGTTCAGATCGGTGTTTTACAGAGCAGCCTATCTTTCCCGGTAGAGGTCAGTGGCTTTTGTGTAAAGTTTCTTTGATTTTGTACTGTGTATGCATGCAGCAAATCATACCATGTTTTTTTGCTTCTAAATCGCAGAAATTACATTTCAGTCCGAAAAGGTTCTTATAAATTTATTTCGCTTTATTATCTATGTTCTTTTATTAAAGTTGGTCATCAATCATTCTTAGTACAGTGTTGATGGCTTATCATGGGTGGTAAGACTAGATGATGTGTTTACGTACATGGAAGCTTTGCTGAATATTAGGTTACAAAATTTATATGGTGCTAGTCAATAGACGTATATTGAAGCTTAATTTTTGTTTTTAGTGGTCTTGTTTATATTCTTTGAGATTTCTTGAATTTTAAATGCCATTGTCTCCCCCACTTAAAATTCCAAAGCTGCAACTGATAGAAAGAATTTTTTCCTCATTCAGACAATAGCAATAATTTTTTGCATCTCCTACGTGTAACTAAAAATGTTGGTAACCGTTATTTTAAAGCGTCAGTAACGACTACCCAAACCAAATTGAACGTTTTATTAATCAAACTCAATCAAACTTAGTCTAATGATCAGGTTTGAATAAGTTCGGTAATTGAACACAATTGAACTGTCACAGAAAAAAAGTTTCAGTAGCTGAACCCAATGGAACTTTGATTGAGTTCGATTAGGTCCAAAAATTCAGACCGGTCCGACCGGGAAAAGAGGACCACCTCAAAAGGTGGACCTGTTTTTTCGAAACTTTTCCAGTTGGACCGAACCGATCCATTGAGTTTTGGACCGAAATTTGCGGAAATTTTGGTTGAATGGATCGCGCCCTATATGACTAAGTACATTCTGGAAGTGGTTGTAGCAGATCAGTGTAGTGTATTTTTTGGAGCGAAAAGATATATATACCTGGAAGAACTAAGAGTAATTTGCCATACAACTTTATCCTTTAATCCATTGAATCAATTTCCTCAATCACAGTGTGAATATTATGCTTCGATAAAGAGTTTTTAACTTTACAGCATCTGTTTTAAGTTAACCGTTACTGTCACTCACACCAGCGCATTCAGAATTCCTCCATGTTTGTACGCTCAATCTATTGTTCATTTCATCTGACTCTTTTTTGGTTCTTTGTTGATTTCCAGGTGATTTCTTTGTTTCTTTCCTGATTCTTTGCACCCAAAATGACTTTTAAAAATCCTTGTCTACTTTGAGTGTTGGTTTAGAACGTTCGATTACAAGTTCGATTGAGTTTGGAAAATGAAATTAATTGATTTTTCAGGCAAATTTTTTGGTTTGATAAAGTTCGATTACCAAACAGTTCGAGTGGTCACCATGGGCAATATAGTGAGTACACAAAAAATCTCTAAAAAAATAATCATTAACTTTCAAAGTCTTTTAAATCAGTATTTTTGTGTTATTTCTGTAACCTCTTAGTACTGGGGTACTTAAAGATAATTTGCATAAAATTACTGGTAACCTGGAAAAGAATATCTTCACATGTGAAAAAAACATGTGTTATCTTTACCTTCACATGTGAAGATAACATGGGTATTATTATTATGTATTATTTATATTAATGTGCCTTTCGCAGGCAAAAAAACATTTCACTTGTTCACTGCATTCACTTGTAAAATATTTTTCCATACTCATAGAGAAATTTTGTTTCTCAGACTCTGCGTGACCATGTAATTTCCTCTATCTATTTGACTGATGTAACTGAAATATATTTTTAGGGTGTCTTTGTTGGCAAGTCCTCCGGACGTGTTTATGTTTGTCAAGAGTGCGATGACTACCAGGAACAGTCTATTGTATGCATTGCATACAGTTTGGAGCACTTCCTGGTCCGTGGTCCCCAGAAGCTGCTGGAGTATAATAAACCGCAGTGCCTCTTTGAGAACTGTTATGGGTGCTTTGATCCATTCATTAAGGATAGGGTCCTTAGCTCTATAGGGTGGTAGAGTATAGTCATGACCCAATTCAAAGACAATCAGACTATAATGAAATATTAGTTATATTATTTACAGTGCAATATTGCAAGCTAAGTAAATTATTTGAGAGCAGTGCTATAGTATTTCTGAAGTATTTGTGTTCAAGCAACTGTAAGCTCACCCAGTTATCAGAGAGCTTTAGATTCGAGTACAAGAACAGCTATAATGACAAGATTTAACTCTTTGCTAAAACCTGTAGTAGGATGATATCGACTTTGGTGTTTTCCCAC